ATGCCCCTTGTAGGTGGATCTGGCTGCTGAAAATGGGACTAAGCACCAGCTGGGCAGCTGGATGGGGAAGAAGAGGCTGGATGTGGACAGAGACGGTGAGTGCCTCCAAAAGGTGCCCGGGGGTGGGAGGCTGCCGCTGAACGATCTTGAAAGGCAGGAGTGGATCCCTGGGCACCTGACGTGCAGGGCGCAGAGGGGGCTGTCGGGCTCTCCCGGGCTCCCAGTCAACCCAGTTTGCCACCAACTGGAGCACCCCATTTTGCCCAGTGCCACTAGATGTCAGGCTGGGCCCGCGCAGGAATAATGTGTCCGCTGCGCAGGACACTGCTCCTGGGCACCCCGGGGACCCGCAGCCTGTTTGCATATCGAGCCGAGGGGCCTTGGGATAATGACGCTGGATGTAGAAGCAGCGCCCTTCTAGCCATGCTCCGCGGGCTCTTCCCGGTTGATGTATGAGGTTATTACGGAGCAGGGAGGCAGGTTAAGTGATGATTGTCAAGCTGCGCTGCTGCGACCCCCTGGGAACGCAGCCGCCGTCGTGGAGTGAGAAGGGGCTGCCAAGAGGGGCAGCTCCGGCCCCGTGGGCTTCCCCTGGCACAAAGGTGGGCTGAAGAGACACATCGTCTTCCTCCTTCTCCTGCTGTGACCCTGCAGTCCAACTCCCCCCAGCCTTAGCCCCTGCCCCATTTCAGCCCTTTGCTGTGACCAGCTTCCATCCTACCTTGCCTTTCTCCTCTGTCATGGGGTGGCACATTGCAGATGATTTGGCATTATGGTTGGGTCCTGGTACATTTCCCCAAAATATTTCTCCAGGATGGACCAGCCCTGCCAGCACCCAGCTCTCCCCTTCTCTCCCTGACTCCTGGAAAATCTCTCCAAGCATCTCGGAGGGCTGCCGGCTCCTGCCTGCACAGGGCACCAGCTTAAGCGTGGCCTGTCCACCGTCATTGTGGGGAGCCTGTTGCCACCCCCGTTTTGGAAGGAGGGTCTCCTGCAGGTAGGCATGCTCCGGCCGGTGCATTTGCAACCATCTCCCATGCAGGTTTTGAGGAATGTCCGCCTGGGTACCTTGCTTCCCCATCCTACATCCCCTGTGGTGGGATTTGCCCCTCCCTGCAGCGGATGCTGGATTTGGGGTGCTGCAGCCCCACGGCTGCTGGCGTACCTCCGCTCCGGAGCAGTGATGGAACCAGACCTGGTTCTGCTTTGCCCTTACGGCAACCTTTCCTCCCCGCGTCCTTCCCCTTACATGGCTTGTTCTACCCACCACGAAAACGCAATTATCCCAACTCTTTTCCCCTTCCTCCTCTGGCTGGGTCTTGCCCTCTGGTGAATTTTGCATTGTGCCCTGAACGTTGGCAACCAACGCGAATAACAATAAGATATGCTAGTTGGGTGGGTTTCTGAATTTTATTTTCTTTTCTTTTATTATTGTAGATTACTTTTTCCATCGGGGGCTCCCTTGTCACGGCTGCACGCCGAGCGGAGCGCGTATGGATGTGAGCGGCAGCGAGAGCGAGAGGGGAGCGCAGGCAATCCAAGCCCAGCCTGCTGATGCCGTTTTTTGCTTGACAGCTAATTTCCATTTTTCAGTATCAGGGGGTCTGCTCCGGTAATTGGCATGCAGATTGTGTCTGATGGGCCTGTTAGACACGAGAAAAGACTCCGCTAGTTAGAATAAGCCAACCCCAGGCTGATGGATGGGGCGTAAGGAGGTCATTGCGAGAGAGAATATACAGATGCCCGCATGCACACACCTACGAATTTTCACATTTTATGCCCTCCCCCCACTCCTACTTTCTTTATCCGGCAAACTCTAATCTATCATATTTCATTGAGACAAATCCTGCTCCATTTCTCTCTCCTTCCTTTTTCCCTTTAAGGGAAATGTGATGGAACCTACTCCTGGATTTAATAAGAAGATGGTGCGGCATAGCAGGAATTAAAGCGGTGCTATGCTTCATTAGCAGCTGGGGATCACACAGAGCTGGCCCAGATGTTAATTACACTTTGGGAATTAATTGGTATAAGGCATTCATCTCCTCCATCATCTGTAATCCGACGGGTGTGCAAGGACTTCTGGAAGCGGAGACCATTCTGGGTGGTGTCTGTCCCCTCTCCTCAGCCCGTCCGCTGCTGGCCATGACCGAGAGGCACAAGCTGGCATTGAAATGTTGAAGCCACCTTCATCTCCACCCCCTTGGTGCCCAAAGACCTGCTGATATTTTTCCTGCTTTCTCCTCCTTGTGCCTCTCTTCTCCAAACTTCTCCAGCTTCTGGGGAGAAGCAGGGACTGGGGAACAGCAGGAGGTGGCACTGCTTTGAAGGAGGAAAGACCATCCCCCTTGAAGTTGGCTGTGCCCAGAAGACCCCAGGATGCCCTGAATGGGGGGGGGGAGGATGATGTGGCCTCCTTTTCTCCCCTCCCTGACCCCCCTTTGCCAGCCCATCCCTTCCCACTTCGGCTGCTGAAACACCGTTTCCTACGCTGCACAAGAGAGCCTCTCTCTGCCCCCGCAGCACCTCCCCACTGCTGAATCCCCCCAGTTCTCAAAGGAAACTGGTCTCCACTTCCTCCCCTCCTCTTTTCCACCTTGGATTCAACCCGATGAAATGCAAAAGCTGCTAAAAAGCTGAGGGGGGGGGGCCTTTTGCCAGAGGACAGAAATGATACGCTTGGAAATGAAGAATATTCCTCTGAATACTGCCAATTTGTTCCTTTTCTGAGCCGGCTGGTGGCGGCCCAGCGTGGGGCACGGTTATCTCTGCTACGGAGCATCACATCTTCGGGTTTCTGCCTGGGCTGGGAGAGATTGCTGCACGGCCCCAGTGGGACACTCCTGCTCCGCTTTGTCTCCCTAAAAATTGCTCCCAGGTCCTAATGGTGCAAGCTTGCTGGCGCTGCAGCTGCCGTCAGCCCATGCTCCTGTGTTTGCCCTCCTGTTTTGGGCTTTCCAGTGGTGATGCTCCCAGGCTGCAGCAGAAATCCTCCTTGGTGCTTGCTGTGGGCATCACCTGAGCTTTTGTGCAGTCCTCAGGGTGTTGTGGGTCTTCTCTTGGCATCGCTGATGCTCTTCGGCCTTGAGGCATCAGCCAACACGGTGCAGGCTCCTTTCCCCCACCAGAAAAGGTCATTCGCGTCACTTCAGTGCAACACTTCACTGGCGTTTGGTTCCCTCCAGGCCCTTCTTACTGAAACCAAAGGCTCTGTAGGTTCAGCTGCTGCCCTAGACCACACCTGGGTAGTCTCTGAAGGTCCTGGCTGGTGATTAGGGCACATGCTTTGGTTTTGCCAGTGTAGCGCTTCCAAACGTCCTCTTTTCCTCTCCTTCATGTGCAAACCACCCTACGCATCCCCTGTTGACACCGGCTGAGGTGCAAAGGGTGCACAGAACAAAAAGAGTTACAGAAGGTCAAGACCAGCTCTGTCCATCCCTTTTTGAGCTTGTGGGTAGAGTCCGTCCCAGCTCAGGCTGCACAGAGCTTTCAAGCTGCACACAAGTAGAGGCAACAGCACAGACGAGTTGTTTTGTGTCTCACACGCATCTGTGTACCCATACGCACACCCTGGAGACCCCCCCGGTGCCCACCCAGGGTCACACACGTCCTTTTGGCCAGGCGTGCTGGCCATGTGCCGGGTTGGCGGTGCCTACGAGCAGTGTTGTGTGTGAGCGTTGCTTTTCTGGGACACGCAAGTGGCGATGGGGGATCCCCGCTGGCAGGCAGGAGCTGGCACCCCAACCTGGGGCTCTGCAGCTCCCCTGAAATCCCAGATGGAGAGGAGAAGACAGAGCCCAGGGGATCAGCCTTCCCTTTGGCAGTCCCCAGCAGAGGGCAATCGAAGCAAATGGTAGAGACAAGACCTTGCCAGCGATGTACAAGAGGAGGGATGTGCCAACGGGAGCAGTGTGCAGGAGGGGGAAATGAGCAGGCAGAGCGATGTGGGGTGGGACCAGTGATGGTGGGGGGGCTTGAGAAAGAGGTTAGAGCAAA